AATTGTTGATGAATACTCCAGATTCCCATTTGCTTTTCCGTGCTCCGATATCTCAACTTCAACTGTCATCTCCTGTTTGCAGACTCTCTTCTATCTTTTTGGAATGCCTGCATATATCCACTCAGACAGGGGCACTTCTTTCATGTCTCACGAACTAAAATCATACCTGACAGCTCAAGGAATTGCTACCAGCCGAACAACAGCCTATAATCCAGCGGGTAATGGCCAGGTCGAGAGATACAATGGCATAATTTGGAAAACTATTGAGCTGGCTCTTAAATCTGAAGGGCTTCCAACAAATCAATGGCAAGCCATGCTACAACCTGCTCTCCACTCGATTAGATCATTACTATGTACTGCCACTAATGAGACCCCTCATGAAAGAATGTTTGCACATCCGAGACGCTCCCACACTGGCTGCTCTCTACCTACATGGCTCACCATTCCTGGCCCAATTCTAATGAAAAACCACAATCGTAGTAATAAGTATCAGCCCATGGTTCAAGAAGTGGAGCTGTTGGAGGCTAATCCGGGATATGCTCATGTCAGGTTACCTGACGGCAGGGAAACTACTGTTAATGTCCGTCACCTGGCTCCTAGAGGGTTACTTCCTGAAAAGGCCCTTGATGCAGATATGCTAGCAACCCCTCTACTAAAAACCCCACTTGCTGACAGCTCCCACGAGGCTACTGATGATCAACTTTTGGAATCCTCACTTGATGAGACCTGTTCTTCGGAAAACACTGACTCATTTTTGAGACCAAAACAGGAAGAGACTTTGCCTCCTACTACATCCAGAATACGAAGACCACCTGCTTATCTTTCAGACTTTGTTACTGACTGATTCAAGTCACTCCCTGAACTCTTAAAATAGCTCGGGGTGAATGTGGTGATATTTATTAACATCTTGTTTTAACTGTAACTGTGCTTGATTTTCAATTGTTTTACTATTTATGTTTATAAGTATGTAGTCCTCAGCGGCTAGCCTAATTTTGCTAATTAAAGCTTTATTAAGTTATTATGTCTGCCTAAATTGATTATCACAACAGTTTTAATGCGCTTTTCCACGAGAACCATTCACTTCAGAATGGCGCCGATTGCACTGCACATGCGCAAGAGAACACTCTTCAATATGCAATCATTAGCGCCATCTTCCGGCTTTTCTTTCTCCTACAGTTACGTCAGTCCTGGAAATTAATAGCCGGACCTTGTATATTTCTCAATTTCTTCAATATATATTTTATAATTATTAATACGAATACATTGTAAAATTTTTTAAGCATCTTATTTAAAACAAAAACTAAAACTAAATTTTTAAGACAAAATGAAAACTAAATTTTTAAGCATAACATCTAAAATTAAGCAATACAACATCTTATATATAATCTTAATCTTAAAATAAATTTTTAAATTACCTGTCCGCGCGTGTTTCGCAGAACCATTTTACCAACTATATTTAATTAAATTTTAACGTTTTAAAAATATTATTCCTTACTCTACCACGTTTATTAATTTCTCATTAATATACTAATCAATATTTTTAATAGTTTAATTTAGGTTTTCCTTCAAAGTAAAATTCCTTTTTAAGTCATTGTCAAGTTTTTATTAAAAGAAAACTTAGAATTATTACCCGCTAGCTCAGAATTAAATCTTGTTAAGAAATTAAAAACATTCTGCTGTTTAAAATTATTCGTTTCAAAACAGCTGACTATTTTCTAAACATACTTTTTTTTCGAAAAATGAATATAAATTACTGATTGTATTGTTTTATTGTTTCTTGTGACTTGAACATAGGTAGATTATCTAAAATAGTGTTGATGTCTTATAATTTACTACAAGGAGTATAAGGATACCGAATGCTGTCGAATACGAAGCCAAAATTTTTAAACATCTTAAAATATCTCAATACCTTAAATGTTGTCCTAACATCTTAATTGCGAAATTAAATTTTTAATTCCCTAGCCACGTGTGATTCACAGAACTATTCAACTAATTATTTCATTGTATTTTTTACTCTTTCTTTATGATAACCACTTAGATTTTTTTCGTTTATATACTAAACTATAATATAGCCAGTTAGCTGATAAAATTTTAAGAATATTTTCTATGTTGAAATTACTCAGTGCAAAACTTCTGACTGATCGTAGTAGATAAGTGCACCCTTTTCTTTAAGATTGTACAAACAAATCATTCATTTATTTACTTTATTCTTTCTTATTTGTTTGATTTGTGAAAAGTAAATGCATATTAGTGCAACTCAAAAAACCACAAGGGTTTGCTTTGTTTTTTAAATGGACAAATTCGAACCGCAATTTTATTTTGACGTTTAAACTTATATATTACATCGTTAAATTTAAGACAGCTGCTCTTTTAGAAAAAGATCGATTCCTGGTGCTAGGAGACATTCCATTTTTGCATTCGACTTTTGAAATTTCAATAGTAAACGGAATTTTTTTATGGCCTTAAACAATGTTATTAAGTCTAGAAGTAAAAAAAAAATGTTTTGATTGTTTCAGAAAGTATAGTGACTAATTATTATTTTTTCAATCTAAGAACCTATGCCTTTATCTTACGTAAAACGTAATATACTGTGTTACTGAATGAATAATCACAAGCAACTGCATCAAAAAGATAAAAACTTAATTGATTTAAGAAAAAATTAGTTGATAATGAAAGTAAAAAGTTCAATAAATTAACGTCACAAAGTCATGCATGCCTGGCGAGTTTTGAGAATAGGTGTTTATATTTGAATGCTCGAAACATGTCAACTTTTATTTCCCTCTTCATATTTTTTAAAGTCAGTGAAGTTTTTACCATCAATTATACTGTTTTACATTTGGCTCTTGATCATTATCTTGATAAGGATTTTGTACTCGTAAAAGTAAACATATTTTAATATTTTAACAGGATTCATGTGGTTATTAAAAACGCAAGAGAACTGTTACATCCATATTGTAACTAAGAAATTATCTTTACTTTTAAAATTAAAGTTTTGAGACCAGATATCTTGAGTGAATGAAATTGAATATTTTATCTTTGAAGTTTTTGTGCCACCATTTCTGTATCTTAAGGACCTTACGAACTCTGTTTAAAAGGAGTATCGTATCAGACATTTGTAAGAAAACAAAGAAATCACAACAGTGGTATTTGATGACAAATGTAGATTATTGTAATTGAAAAACATATTGCTTTGAAAACAATAATTTTTGTGGCTGCTGATATTACGATTTTATAACATGGGCAGGTATTATTATTCAAAAATAGATATCATTTCTGCTTTATAAGCAAATTAACTACTATTATTTCTGGGCGAACGTGTCTTCTATGTCATCAAAATTTTATTGAAATTTCAAACTTTATTCTTCGAAGATTCATGCTGGTGCATTGCAAATTTCGTGTGATATTTATAAATGTGATGTGTAGATTGAAGACAGGCTTATGTCAATTCTTAATAAGTTCTAATTTTATCCAATTTTTAAGGCATGAATTTATTATTTTAAAATTATTATATAAAACGTATGCAACGCAAACTTAAATAGGATTTTTTCCTTAAATTTTTTTATTCCTTCAAAATATATTTTGTTTAAGGTTCCCCTTTTAAATGTTTACGGACTGTGTTGCAGCTCGTAAAGAATATATCCCTTAGAAACTTTCCTTTTTCTATTTTGTATAAAACCTTTGTCAAAAAGCACTGAAAAAACTACTCAGATCTCACTAAAAATTTTAAAATTACAGTTTGTTAATTTTATTACTTGTTAAAGTATGCAATTTTTTAAAGAAAGACCAGGAAGTTATAGGTAAGCAAAAGTTTTTGAAAGTTTTCTTGTGTCATTAGAGAAATTTGCCTCTAGCACGTGCACGTACTGTGCCAAGTAGGACAATTTCTGTTCTTTTTAAGGATTGCGCAGAATCTGTTTAAGTTAAACGTGCTGGATGGCATATGAATGCGCAAAATTTCTCTAATGCCTTAAACTTTGTTGAAAAACATAAAATTCTCGCAATACATCATGTTAGAGTCATGGTTGCTCAGGGGATAGAGCATTCGTCTCTCAATGAGGTTCGAATCCCAGGTTTGAACCTGACATAAAATATCCTCAGTGGTAGACAGATCAGGGGTGGTTAGATTCCTCTTGCAATCGGGCTTACCCGTTGAAGATGTTAGGTATTTTCTTCTCCATGTATCACAAATGCGGGTTAGTTTCATCAAAAAGACCTCCACGATGGCTAGTTTGTCCCACTGCTAGATCCAGGATTGCCCTTGTCTTCCGGGTTGGGTTTGAAATTACAAGGTAACGGAGTTGAACAATAATAATCGTAAACTCAGAATTCATGCAGCTGTTCTACGCCGGTTATAAAATAAAATAAATATACATCGTGTTGAACAAACTATCGGAATATTTATTTGGTACAAAATTACCTACGCCATCTTAAATTTTCAATAAAAAAGCTTTTATTTTCATATTTTATCCAATGCAATTTCATTAGGAGTCCTTTAGTTTCCTTAAATTAACTTCTTCATAATTCTCTATATTACTAGGACTCAGCCGCTCCCAATAATTGCCACTTCTTTTTAAATTTTGACAGCATTTTAATAGGAAAACAATTTATTTCCATAAATACTACAAAACTGGCCTATCAGAAATTCATTGACTCTCGTCCGGCAGGCACCTATTTGAACAAACTGCTTCTTACATGGTAAAAATATTGATAAAATATGGGCTCATACTTTGATGAATGAGATAGATCAACCAACTAGTTTCCTTATTTCAATAAATTTCATGCATGTCGACTTAATATGTTAGAATGCAATTTGTAAAACCGGAACTTTTACAGGAAGTGCAGCAATCAGTATAATCGACAATTGTATGCAAGAGACAGATCAAATGAATCTTCAAATTTCAATCGCATTTTTCAGAAAACTAAATCACCTGTATAACCTTCACCTAATTGATTTATCAGAAACTGTTATGAAGTTATAGCTAAACTTTAGAATCTGTATTTTTGGATTTTCTAAATGCTACTTTTAAAATTTTCGTTACTTACGCAAAAATGCAAAATAAACTTCTGAAAATTATAAATAGCCATTTCGAAATAAAGGTGTCAACAAATCTTAGGCTACATCATATAAGAAATTTATTTAGTAATTATTTATTTTATCACAAACGAAATGGAAATCGAGAGAATGGTTTTCTCTCGATGTGAAGAGGTTGAAAAATATTTAGAAAAATCAGTTGCACCACAAATGCAGCACAGATAATTGCTTTTGCTGCGTTGCATTGGACCTGTTTCTGTATTGATAAATTATACTCATTCAAGAAATTCAACTTCGGAAAGAAAACAAAAGGCTGGTGTCCTCCTACCTGAATTTTTCCACTCTTCTGGGTCATGTTCCTAAGAGGACGCAATACCAAAGGAGAAACTTTTCATGGCGAATTTTATTTCCCCTTCAGTGGTATTTTCAAGCATCTGAAGTTTAGAAAAAAAAGATCAGGTAAACCTAGATTAAACCACGAAATTTCCAATGATAAAAAAATGATTTTAAAATGTCAAAATGTAAACAAATTATTCGGAATTATATCCTCACTGGGTAATCCTAGCATAACTTCTTTGCAATTTAATATTATAAAAAGCATTTTTCAGCATTTAAAAGTTTCTTTGTTTCCTCAAGGTTTAACAGAACACACTTTTTTCTAAATTTTAAATTACTTATGTTAAGTGAAAGAGCATTTGCGATTTTCTTCCGTGATATATCATTCTCTTAAAAAAAGCGTATTTAAGAAAATAAATAAATGAACAAATAAAATTTTAAATGACACCATAAAATCTGAAGAGTAATAGTACTTAATTTATTTGTAAAATAATAATTTTGAGTTTACGTTGCTTCAGCAAAAAAACAAAGGGTTGCCAAGTAAAATATTTCGAGGGGGAACAAGAAAAAAAATTTTTTGTCAGATTAAAATTCATCACAATTCTTTGTTTCATCCCTGTGAAAGATAAAATAAAAAAGGTTCATGACTTACT